CCTTTGCAGATAAAAACGTCTCATTTTAAGATGACGAAAACACAATGATTATATATAATAGTTATTATATTCAATTTCTACAAAAAGATCCTTCTAAATGTTACACACTGGACATTTAATCAACCTTCATTTATGAAGAAGACTAAGAGTCTAAACTACTCTATAGCCATGTGGCTCAGAGGCACAGCAGCGCTTTGAGCTAAATGCTATTACCAACAACACAATGACACTAGATATAAAGTTTGATGTTGACCAGAGTTACAATTCATCATGAGGGCTATGTCTGTAGCAAATTTAAGACAACCCATTCAATATTTGTCAAGATTTGTTTGGCGGCACTAGAAGAAAAGACAGGGGATCACCAAACTTATTACAATTCACCCTCCGGGACCATTCATTTGTGTGCAAAACTTAATCAAATCCATCAAATGGTTGTTGAGTTACTTAGTTAGAAGTGGTGGACTGACCAACACTGACATCGCTAGCGCCGTGCTGCTATCATGGCTAGAAATAAATTTTATTTGATGTTAGGATTTAAAGTATTCTTTCTGCAATGCAAATTGGTTAGCTCCGACTTTGCTGTTTTGGCTTATTCTCACCGCTCTTACAGTGTCACTTTCAGGGTAAGGGCAGGTACCTGTATTCAGTAAAAAAAACCTCTATAAAACCCACTGTACACTGCTTAGTGCCAGACAGCAGACTGACTAAGTTAGCAGCTAGCTGGTGAACATAGTGGAACATTTTGCAGCTTAAGAGGCAGATATTTGGACCAAATAGTTGGACCAAAAACAGAGCTTGAGAGAGTGTTTTCACTGTTTCCAAATGGCCAAAAAATCTTATTGTTTTAAGTTACACTTAAGTTTAAGTTTCCTGCTGTTAATTTGTAAACTCCATAGATGTAGATAAATATAAAATTCTACTAAATTAGGATTCATGCTTTTTCCCCTTTAATCATCAACACTTGACATAACAACATGCTGCTGATATGGTTTGTATGTTGAGATGAGGTGGGAGGGACCATCTTGTGCCTAAGCAATATGTGCATATTAAGGCTTCTATGATGTTGCATCTGTCATGGTACCGTCTGTGGTGCGAGAGGATATGAGCCTTCAAAAGAAACACTGGATGGTGACACTACAAGAAGTTTTCTACCCTGCTCTAGCAGCTGTGGGTATCCCCTGTAAGTACATCAAAACTCTTGGCTCATCTCATGCCAAAATACTTTACTGTTTTATGACATTCAGAAATGATGCTGTTAATTTAATAGATAAGTGGTGATAGTGTTAGTTCTGAGGGAGATGCCTTTATTGACACAAATCTTTTCCTCAGCCAACACCATCACTTTTCTGATCATCTTGAGGAGGAACTGCATGCTCTCCAGGTCCAGCACCTTCTACCTGATGGCCATTTCTGTGGCTGACAACCTTGTTCTGATCTTCATTGTGGTTCTTGAGCTTTCTGTTAAGTACCACCAGCAGGAGCCATTTTGGAGTTACGAACCATGGTGCAACCTGAGGGATATTTTTAACTACGGAGCATACAACGCCTCAACGTGGCTGGTGGTTGTGTTTACAGTGGAACGTTTTATCGCCATCCACACGTGGAAAATGAAAACCAAAATCTGCACTCCAAGATGTGCAGCATGGACTATAACGGCTGTTTTCCTCTTCAGTCATATTTTTGCCATTCCTTACTACTGGTCTAATGCCTCAGTCTACGCGGACAACCAGACCAGATGTATTTACAAACCAGAGGCCCCGTCTCATTTCATTCACGCCCTGGTTTGGTGTCAAACGGTGCAAGCCTACGTATTACCCTTCCTCATCATCCTCACACTTAACGGGCTGACGCTGCGTCTAATCTCTCACTGCAACCGAGTTCATATCACTGCTGATTTGACTTCCAGGGTCAATAAAGTCATGCCCTTGCTGCGCTCCAGGAAGAGAAAATCTGTGGTGCTTCTGGTGACTGTGTCCATGAGTTTCATGCTGCTGTCTGTCACCCGTGCTATAACTCAGATCATCCTCCGTACAACTCACATGTACACTTTGGATCGTAATGATTATAACCTCCAGATAAATATAGCAGCAGACATCGGAACCATGCTGAGCCTGAGCAATGCAGCGGCTAACATGTACCTGTATGTATGCACTCAGTCCAAGTTTCGCCAGGAGTTCGTTGCCTGTGTCAGACAGGTGTCTTTCTACTGCAAAACAAAACTGTGTCCTTAAACACAATTACTGACAGTCCTCGAGGAAGTTTGTACAGGTGTACTTTCCTGGTGTCTGGTAACAGAGGAAATTATCTCATAACTGGTTAATGACTTTGTTTCTCTCAGCAGACAAGGCCTTTAATTGAAACGCAGCTCCATAAAACACAATCTAATTTACTTTATTACTGTGTTTTACTCATTCTGTTCCTCCATTAAAGACCATGACCCACATCCCCACTGTTTGACATGGTAGTTTAAATTTCAGAATTAATTTCCTGCATTTGGTTTACAGACCCAGAGCTAACAAACAAGAAGGGCTGACTTGACAACTTGAAAGCCATTGTCACTCTTGGTAAGGCAGTTTGTAATATTCTAGTACATGTGCAAACATTGTACTTTTTTTAGCTTGATGGATACAAACATATTGCACTGAGATACTACTAATGATGTATGTAAAGCACTGATATTTTATGCATTTGTTACTATCTGATCATGGACCATATATTGATGATATACCGCATTTTTTTTCGTATCCTTGTATGATTATTAACTACAAGTCTGCAATAAAGTCCGTTTTCAATTTCTGTTTATTCTCCGTAGTCAAAACTGGTCATCAAAATTTTACAAAACTGTATCCTGATTTTTCACAAAATCAAAAACAACATACCGGTATACAATTTTTCCAATGAAAACACTAAACAACAATGGCTTATGGTCTAAAACTCCTAAACCAACAATTTGTGCCAAGCAATACTTACTGTATAATAACAACAAAGAAATGTATAAAATACAAAAATATTACAAAAGCTTGAATAGATACAATATTGTACTGTTACTTTTCCCTGCAGGACTATAAACTAATCATACCAGCAAAACATTATGCTGAAAGCCTTTTATCTGGGAAGTTAATGTTTATTTGCCCTCAACACATACAGCATTAAGTACTTTAAGATGTTAATACAATAAAAGTAAGAAGAATATGTGTTTATGTTTTGAGACGTTACAATAACAGGAGTGCAGTTCTGGTTCCCATAGACTCTCCACAATGAACTGTTCAACAATCAATATCCCTCATTCAAGTTTTTGACTAATTTAACCAGGGGTGCTAGTGGTAATGGCATGTAACAAACACAACCAAATCAATAGTCATTAACGATGGCTCTGACAGTAATGACAGTGAACCAGCGTGTACAACACCCTGAAACTGAAGCAGCTAAATGGAATTCAGCCATTGTTAATTTTAATACTTACATCTGTGCTTTGCCTATTGTCAAAATGTCTTCTGTAAAAAAGGTCCATTACAAACCGTGTTCAGAGGTATCACAACGGCAGCTTCAAGAAAAGTTTGACAGATGGAAAATAAATGAGGTGAAAGAAACGCAGTGGAAGACCTGAACAGCACTTATAGGTCACTTCCTGAAGGGAGTAATCCAGTAAAGTATTAAAGTTAAGTATTATTTAAGCACCAAAGTTCTTGCTTTAACATCAACATGATCTACATCTGTATATATCTATATATATTAATATCGCTCCTACATTTAAATCTATTTCTTTTAACAATAAAAAAGGGTTTTTGCTCTTTCCATAGTTTAACATGAAATGGAAATGATGTTGATGCATGTAATCGTTTTTTTTTTTTCATACTGTTTTTATACTGTCTTTATACTGTTTTTTTGTCTATCCACTTTGCTGCTGTAA